AATTGTGCACAATCCAACACTAAACAATAAAAAAAACAATCAGGCACAACCAATAAAACACAACTAAACTAACAACCATGAAAACACTTCGAACTGTGAAATTATCACCACACAATTTGGCACAACCAAATGGTGAACAAAGAAAAGCAAACATAGCCCATTGTTCAAGTAACACAACACAATTTTTCAAAACCCAAAGCCAAACAATCAAAACTAAATCAAGCACAGGCAAAAAAAACATTAAAATTGTAATACCAAGATACACAACTGACTTAACCCAATTGGAGACAACGCAAATCACACAACACAATGAGACACAACCAGCTAGCCAACCAACATAACATATTCACAAGAGAAAACAACCCATCATAAGATTAACATAACACAATATGACACAACCTGATACTAAATCATCAGACTAACAACCATCTAAAGAAAACCGAGTCTCAAACGTACACAACACAATTCGGCAAAACCTATACCTACTTAACACTAGCCCACCATTACACAACCAGGCTTAACCAAAAACTCAATCGATTTACTTAACCCATCAAAACACAATCAGGCACAACCAATAAACCACAACGAAACGTTGATACTGATTTACTCAACTAAGTTATTTCAACTGGAGACAATCGCACGAAACAATCGGGGACAACCCGATATCTACTGAATATGTACTTGAATTACAACCTAGGATCAAAGAAATATACTCTACCTGTTACATAATCACTGACGGTGGTTCGGGGAAGCTTGGACACTAAGCTTTAGGACACTAGTCTTCCTGGACCCCCAAACGAGGTCGCTTACTATTTGACATACAGTAGATCGCATGACTTGATGCGTGTTCAAGTCATACCACCGGAAGAAGCTACCTGGCTAGAATTTTTTTCAAAATCATTCATACACGTCGCACGAAACTGGGGACAATTAGCGTAACATTATGGCGTCAAAAAAACAAAACAAAACAATGAGCAGTATAGGGCGCAAACAGCCTTACAACGTCAAAAACGACAAGCGTCACATTTTTTACAAGTTTAGTCAACCTAAAAATAAAATACTTTATCCTTATCTTATCATTACAAAATTTACAGGGTAGCAAGATCTCGAGGACAATATTTCTAAAATGTTTTTGAATTTTGAAAAACGGTCAAGAAATCCACTTGGGGCGTTAGTAAAAATTGATATGTATGGAATTTGTGGTAAAAAATCGATGCGTCACATTTTTTCAAGTCTCGAAAACCAGCTCTTATTTTGATATTATTTGCAAAATAAACAAACCGGTTATTGTTTTGTAAATTTCGCCATGACAATATTGTGCAGTTAAATTTTCTTTCAAATCAGACCTAAATTAGATGGTTAAATTAAGGTAAACTTATTGCTCGTCCCATTCGCCTTCAAAACCTTACACAATTTTGAAAATTTTAAAAGCGTTCGTATAAGATAATTTGAAATGTAGCCGTTCAGCAATTGTGACGTCATAAATGCAAATGTTCCATTGAATAAATTGTGAAATTTAAGTGGGATTTTGATCATTATTTCAAAAGTTATCTCAATTTCAACGAGCCCTGTAAGCGTAAAGTGTTACGTTTTACAGCGTATTTGACGATGTCTGAGTATATTTACTTTTAAAAATGTGTTGGATCCCATCAAAATTTTGAAGGAAAAATAATTTCATTGAAATGCGAATAAAAAATACTTCAAAATGATATGTAAAACACATAGTTGGGTTTTTAAATAAGGCAGAGATTAACGTTCAAAGCTGAGATAAGCCCGCATTTCCCGAATTGTCCCCAGGTCCGTGCACGTCATATCAGTATTTCATTATACTGAACACTTTTCGGAAGTTTTAAGCCAAAAAGCCTCTTGCCACAAGCTGGATACGGGCAAGAGTGATGCGGGGCGCCATCTTTAGACCCAATATCACATTAATTGTCGAGGTCAGGACCAAGCTACTATACTCAAACTAAGCCCAAGACCCTGCTCTATATGAATTCGGAGTGTGACTTAAGCCACAAAATATATATTCAGGTGGCCTAGCTGCTAACCATTGGTTTGATATCCCTAAGAAATTGACTACGGCATAAATATTGACCCCAGAAACGATAGACCTTACATCTGCCTATTAGCAAATGTGACAAAAGCTTTATTTGTAAAAATTGCAGGCCCCTCACTTATAATCAAAATCGGCAGATAAGGCTATTACTTCATCAAAATTAGCACGATATACACATGATAACATATGTGGGTTACTAAAATTATACATTTAGGGAAAAATTTATCACGATTTGAAGGACAAAATAGATACGGAGACAACTACGCACAGAAAGTGTTAGTTTACGTACTTTCGGTATTGCTGTTGGTATCACAAACGTATTGAGTACACTTTTACTCCATCGATGCGTTACGGATTTTGATACGGGTAGCTAAAACGTTATGCGAAACATGTACACTGTAATTATTGCAATACCATTCCATACAGTGTAAAATGAATTGAACATACCATTTGAAAAACTCGATTTATTTCAAACAATAAACAAATTCATTCACCAAATTTTAGTCAAATTATACACAGCACACTGTGCTTGTTCATATAGTGATACCTTTAGAACTAAAAACAATATAATCGAAGGATAAAATCGGATACGTAAATGACCAACGTACAAAAGCCTCATTTTTCGTGTTTCCCGTATCATTTCACGTATAAATTGAACTGACTACGCATAAATCTGGTAAATACGTTACGGATACGGATCCGTGGAGCTAAAAAACGTTTTGCGAAACCTCTCTGCTAACTTGCTGCCAGCAGCGTTACGTACGACTGGTTCGAAAATTGACATATCGCCTCGAGCGCAAACTGTATCAGAGATTTAAGAAAAATTAGATATAGAATATTTCCCGACCAGACACATCAGTCATTAAATCCCTTGTAGAAAAAACGTAGAAATATATACTGAAACGTCTCCCAAATCAGCAAAGGACTAGCTAGTAACAACGTGACATAGGACTAATCAGAAAGTTGACATAACGATTAGAGCGAAATGTTAATCAGAGCTATGTGACAAATTAGATACTCAATATCTCACGAATAGAATGAACATACAACTAGTCCCTGGTAGAGCAAATGCAAACATATATCCTAACACGTTTCTTATATAAGCAAACATCATGCTCCTACCAGCGTGACGTAAGACCGATCAGAAAATTGACATTTCGTCTAGGGTGCAATGTAAATCAGAGCTTTGCAACAAAACCTACAAATTAGATACTCTATAACTCACGAATAGAATGAACATTCGACAAGTTCTTTTGTAGAGCGTATGCAAAAATTATATCCCTTCACGTTGCTGAAATAACTAGCTACCAGCGTGCTGTAAGACCAGTCCAAAAATTGACATTTCGTCCAGAGCGCAATGTAAATCAAATCTTTATGTCAAATTAGATACCTAATATCTCACGAATAGAATGACTACTCAACAAGTCCTTGGTAGAACATATACAAAAATATATCCTTTAACATCTCTTAAATCGACAACCAACATACTGTTACCTGCGTGTATTAAGACCGGTCCGAAAATTGAAATTTCGTCTAGAGCGCAATGTAAATCACAGCTTTACCACAAATTAGATATTCTATATCTCTCGAATAAAATGACTAATCAACAAGTCCTTGATAGAGCTCATATAAAAATGTATCCGCAAAGATCTCACCAATTAGCAAATAACTTGCTGCCACCGGCGTTACGTAAGACTGGTCTGAAAATTGACATTTCGCCTATGGTGCAAATTGTATCAGAGATTTAAGACAAATTAGATATAAAATATATAACGACCAGAAACATCAGTCATTAAATCCCTTGTAGAGAAAACGTAGAAACATATACTGAAACGTCTCACAAATCAGCAAAGGACTAGCTTACCAGCGTGACGTAGGATTGATCAGAAAATTGACATTTCGCGGAGAGCGAAATGTAAATCAGTGCTTTGCGACAAATCCTACAAATTAGATATTCTATATCTCACGAATAGAATGACCAATCGACAAGTCCTTTGTAGGACCAACGTAGGCATGTATCCTTAAACATTTCACGTATTAGCATCCTGCTTCCACCAGCGCTACGTACGACTGGTCTGAAAATTGACATTTCTGTTAGAGCGCAAACTGCATCAGAGATTGAAGGCAAATTAGATATAAAATATATCACGAACGGGAACATCAGTCATTAAATCCATTGAAGAGCATACTTCAAAATAAAGACTTAAACGTGACGTACCACTGGTCAGAAAATTGACATTTCATCTAGAGCGCAATGTAAATCATAAACTGTAGGATAAATGAGATACTCAATATCTCACGAATAGAATGACCACTCACCAAGTTCTTGGTATAACAAATGCAAAACTGTATATCTTAACGTCTCTCAAACTAACAACCCACATGCTGCTACCAGCGTGACGTAAGACTGGTCCGAAAATTGACATTTCGTCTAAAGCGCAATGTAAATTAGAGCTTTACGACAAATTAGATATTCCATATCTTTCGAATAGAATCACAGGCTGGTATCGAAAAATTTGTCCGCTGTGACGGAGTGTGCTATTTTGCATAGATACACTAAGAAACCCGAACAATTTATTTTTTTACTCATATGTTTCGCTATACCAAAGAAAGTTTCTTACTTTATGCAATGGGTATATCATTTGCGGGTAACTTTAACTTTTGTTTCAAGTCCAACAACGCTAAGAGTAAAAGCTATTGAAAACGGCGCCGGGGTATCATACTCCAAAATGTACCATTTCTTTTATTTCTTTTTAATGGTACAATATAGTGACACGATAATATTTACATATGTTTTCAGCATAACTCTGAAGGTATTAATGATATCTTGATGTATTGGGTATTTTTAATATTTTTTATAAAAATAATGTTTACATTTTTTGTCAGCTGTGACGGAGTAGTTTTAACTGTGAACTACGTTAAGAATTTAAGATTCAAATTATACCTTTTAAAAGTACCCTTAAGCCCGGTATACACCAATGGGGCAAAATCCCACTTGCCCCATCGAGTCCCATCTTGCCCCATCGAATCCCAATTTGCCCCATCGAATCCCACGAAGTCCCATGGGATCTTGATGACTTTGCCCCATCGTGCCCCATGGAGTCCCATCAAGCCCCATGGAGTCCCATCAAATCCCACCGTGCCCCATTGGTGTATGTCGGGCTTCACACAACACGTCATATGATCGAAAATCCCACGATGCCCCATGGAAAGAATGAACATGTTCATTCTCGATGGGACTCCATGGGACTTCGTGGGATTTTGCCCCATCTTGCCCCATCGAGTCCCACCGAGTCCCACGTGGGACTTCATGGGACCTCGTGGGACTCGATGGGGCAAGATGGGGCAAAATCCCACGGAGTCCCATGGACTTCATGGAGCAAAATCCCGAAAGGTCCCACGAGGTCCCACGCAATGTGAAGTCTATGCAGGTCCCAACTTGCCCCATTGGTGTATACCGGGCTTTAGAAGAGAGAACGTCACAAATCACTTTCCTAAATTATGACAAGTATCCTCTGGGAGATCTGGGGTAATGTAAATCTGAGATATAAAAACGACCACTCTTAGCATTTTTCGGAGGTTTGTACTGAAATCAACATGAATCAACATGGTGTAAACTCAACATAATATTTCTATTTACGTTTTCGCCAAGACGTCTTGGAATGTCACGTGTACAGTAAATAGGGCTAATATGAATTTATTCGAAATAGCGAACAGACATCCTGCATTCCGACAGATGTATAACATTTTACTTCATAATATTACTGTATATAAGTTACCATAAAAAATGACCATGTCAGGTGATGGATCCACAGTAGGCACAACGAAAGGCAAATACCCTATACTAAAGTAAAGTTGACTATCATTTTCATGAGTTACCATGCATAACTTGGATTACAGTACAAACTGAGAAAAGAAGCTTAAAGAGTGGTCGTATATCCATCTCAGAATTTGAATTGTGTACTTTTATTCCGTTTTATTTTTCAGAATACTTTACGAAAGAGATTTAACACGCTCCCTCCTCTATAACGTTAGTTATAAAGAGATATATCATAAATCTAAATTCTTAACGTATTTCAGATTTGAAACTGCTCCGTCACAGCGGACAAAGAATTTAAATATTATTCTTTATAAAAAAAATTAAAAATACCCAATACATAAAGATCTCATTAATACCTTCAGAGTTATGCTGAAAACATATGTAAATGTTATCGTGTCGCTATATTGTACCATTAAAAAGAAATAAAAGAAATGGTACATTTTGGAGTATGATACTTCGACGCCGTTTTCAATAGCTTTTACTCTTTGCGTTGTTGGACTTCAAACAGAAGTTAAAGTTACCCCCAAATGATATATTCATTGCATGGAGTCAGTAATTTTCTTTGATATAGCAAAACATATGAGTAAAAAAATAAATTGTGTGGATTTCCTAGTGTTTCTATGCAAAATAGCACGCTCCGTCACAGCGGACAATTTTTTCGATACCAGCCTGTGAGAATGACTAATCAACAAGTCCTTGGTGGAGCAAATTCAAAAATGTATCCTTCAAAATCTACGTAAAACGTAAAACCGGTCCGAAAATTGACATTTCGTTTAGAGCGCAATGTAAATCAGAGCTTAACGACAATTTAGTTATTCTATATCTCTCGAATAGAATGGCTAATCAACAAGGGCCTTGGTAGAGAAAATATAAAAATGTATCCTTAATGATCTCACAAATTGAGTTATATCTCTGGTGCTCCCGAACTCACCCATGATAAATTAGACAATCTATTTCAGTTGACAGCAACATTGCTTTTAGATAACTATTAATGGTTGTACATGTGGTTGTGCATAATCTGACTACCTTAGACCCCACTTACTCAACCCCTAGGTGTAATTGGTCGCCCCTTCTGTTGCAGCAGGTCCCTGTCAGTACACTTCATTTATAACATGCCACATCTAAACAGTGGGTGTGTTTTATTTTTCTTGAATTTTTCGTATATTTATACGTAACATTGTAATTGAAAGCGAACATAAAATGCCAGAAGGTGGTTTGCCGCACGATTGTGTATTATGCCATGAAAAATATATCAATGAAATAAAACCTATTGTTTAAAAAATGATCTCACTAATTAGCAAATAACATGCTGCTACCAGCGTTACGTACGACTGGTCCGAAAATTGACATTTCGCCTAGAGCGCAAACTGTATCAGAGATTAGATACAAATTTGATATAAGATATTTCACGACCAGAAACATCAGTAATTAAATCCCTTGTAGAGAAAACGTAGAAACATATACTAAAACGTCTCACAAATCAGCAAAGGACCAGCTAGTACCAGCGTGACGTAGGACTGATCAGAAAATTGACATAATGATTAGAGCTAAATGTTAATCATAGCTTTGTGATTTTGAAATTAGCTACTCATCTCACGAATAAAGTGACCATACAAATGACGTTTTATACAGAAAACCAAATCACCGCTAGTGTCCTTACTCAGGACTATATCTTAATAGTAAACTGAATTGTTTTTTTTCTTCCAACATGGTTATATTTGCCTTGTAGGCATTATCCAGATCAAAATGGTATGTAACAATGCTATATTTGAGAAAATGCACGGGGGAAGATTCAATCCTTTTAGAAACAGGTCCTTTTTGCAAAATTTAGGAAAATTGATTTTGACATTTCTTGAAATTTATTTGGGGTAGGGTTAAACCTTACAGTTTGCATCATAGATTGAGTACACCCAACTGAGGTGAACATGGCCATATGGGGTATCATTGGAAAGCGATTTCTACTATCTTTTGAATGATATCCATGTCAAGGCGTTCGATTGCATCTTATGACGTCATAACGGTAGGAGGAAACAAAGGTTCATTCAAAACTGCCCCGAAAACAATTGAATGGCACGGGAGAATGGAATTCGGGGTACTTGGCACAGTGGCCTCGCCCCCAAAACACAAAAGTTGCTTCAAGATGGCACGATTTTGGTAACATTGTTCAGCTAAGATACGGCCCTTTAATATGATATGCGCTATTAGGGCTTCGTAATGAACTAAAAAACCTACAAAATACCCCAAAAAGCGCCTTCTAATAGGTTATAGTCTCCAAAAGAGTTTCCCATAGATGGCCATTATAACATTTTACCCTGGTACTTATTAACGATTAGTATCCAAGCGTAATGCAACATACCACAGTGTTCGGGAGAGACTCGATCGACTCCATCGAATTTTTGAGATAAATAAACTTGAATACACCAACCCCCTCTATCGTCAGATTTCTCAGAGAATTCTGGTAAAATCACCAAGGTCAAAATCACTCCGCCACCAGCTTAAAATGAGATATCCCACTGAACTTTGACATGTTTTCAGATAAATTAGGACCTACCTTATACATATTTAGTCCCGATTCACTTCCCAAACGCCAGATGGCGCTCCAATGGGGTAGGGAAGAAGAAAAATGACTTTTTATACAGAAAACCAAATCACTATATCCGTAGCAGCATGTAGGTTGTTAATTTGATCAGACATTGAAGGGTATATTTTTGCATTTGCTCTACCAAGCAGTTGTTGAGTGGTACTTCTATTCGTGCGATATTGGGTATCTAATTTGTCATAAAGCTCTGATTTACATTTCACTCTGACAGAATATCAATTTTCTGAGCAGTCATACGCCACGCTTGTACTAGATAGACCTTTGCTGAATTTAGAGACGTTTCGGTAAATATTTCTATGTTTTCAATACAAAGGATTTAATGACTGACGTTTCTTGTTGTGAAATATTTTGTATCTAATTTGTCTGAAGTCGCTGATACAGTTTGCGCTCCAGACTAAATGTTAATTTTCGGACCGGTATATTGCTACGCTGGTAACAGCATGTTGGTTGATAATTTGAGAGACGTTAAAGGATATATTTTTGTATTTTGCTCTACCAAGGACTTGTCGAGTGGTCATTCTATTCGTGAGATTTTGAGTATCTAATTTGTCATAAAGCTTTGATTTACTTTGCGCTCTGTACGGAATGTAAATTTTCGGACCAGTCGTACCTAACGCTGGTGGCAGCATTATATTTCTTATATAGTGAGATGTTTCAGGATACATTTTACATTTGTTCTACCGAGGACTTGTTGATTGGTCATTCTATATGTGAGATATTGAGCACGTAATTTGTCATACAATTCTAATTTACTTTGGGCTATGTACGGAATGTCAATTTTCGGACCAGCTGTAATATCCAATTCGTCTTAAAGGGTGACGCATATCGTTTAGCAAATCGAACGCTCGTTTCTGGTGTTGCTCACCGTTTAGTATAAAAGGCCCGATCCCGGAATAATACTCAAGGGTTTACAGGTTCGAGGTCGTTGTGTCAACACCTCTAACTGTTATATAGCATAAGTATATTATAGATCGTCACACATTTATAAAAGGGTGGTTTTTATTTTGACAAATCAATTCCACATTTATGGGCGAAGTTTCAGGATCTTCTATTTGTGTATAATAAGGAAAAATAGGCATCTAAATTTCCCCATAACGTAATAGCACACAGCTTGGCATATGAAATATCCTACAAATGAAACAAAGCAAGACAAACCGGTTTCTAATACAAGAATTTATATTGGCTGTTGTACATGCAATCACTCTTTGGATAACGTTTTCAAAATCATTATAAACGGATTACTTTATCTTAAAGACAATTTCAATAAACTGGATTTTACAGAACTCCCCTTATTTCTTAAAAATGGACTGATCCAGTTGATTCGCCTGGAGCCGCCATATTGTTTTTATACGGGATGCTAATCGGAACCCTTAAAGTCCCCGATAAATCGGGCTACGTATACCGCCGTGTTTACATTAGGGGATTAGAAGAGTTTATTTTTTATTTAGGTATGCAAGCTACGTATCAATATTAGGCCTTCATTCATGTACTCGTGTGCATTGTGCATGTAATCAGCATGCCTTTCAATATTATGTAAACCAGGCTATTCAAGTACTGTATAATGTACACTATTTATGTGTGTACTACATACAATACAATTCCCTGGGAAACAAAACACAAATACTTTATATGTTCAAAATGAGCCATTTGATTGATGCAAACACTAAATAGCTTCATAAATAACATCTACAAAGTATATCTAATAGTAATTTTCAATTTCAATGGTGAAACTTCCCTGGTTACGATTATATGGGAAATCATCACGGAACGAAGATTGTTCACCTTCCTGGCTTACCTCTGAAGCCTGTACTCGGTAATCTCTTTAAATATCGTAGTCTAGCGAGAGCGGTGCGCCTGCGCAGTTTTAAACGTTGGCGCACACTTTAAATCGCTTATGCAATTTGCGCTCTTGACGAAATG